TGCTATCCATTTGGATCTTGTTGTTACAGCCGAGAAGAGGTCATGTAGTCTGGGTAGCGCACGGCCTTTATCACCCATGTCTGCGCCGTGAAAGATCACTCCAGTTTCATCAACAAAGGACGAAATTGTTACTAAACAGGGTGCTACTTTTATCTCACGAGATAAAAAGATGCCTACTAATTTTTTTATAATAAAATTAGTCAGTAAGAGTTGATCTATAAATATTAAAAAAAAAAACATAAAAAATAAATAGATTTTTTTTAGAAATACAGTAGAATCCCTGACAACCGGACTAAGAACGCCTTCCAGGTTATGAGGAATTGGTTACAAAGTCCGGAAATGAAGGGTGATATTTAGATTAAAATAAAAGATCTGAAATCAGATTTAACATTTATTTTCAATATTTTTCATGAAATATGTTTTATATTTCATTTCACTTTCAACGTTATATATATATATATATATATATATATATATATATATATATATATGAATAGATTTTTCACTTATTAATCCGGCATATTTTTTAATTTATTGCTTAACCGCTATTTTTAATGGCTACCCATATTTGAGTAGATGCTCTGCTTTTATTTATTTCTTAAACAGTATATTTATTTATTTCTATATACCATCCTGAAAAGTGTGCCCTCCAAAAAGATTCGAATCTGTGTTCCCTAGGGGAAACCATCATTAGATCTGACGTGCCTTAACATCTTGACCAGGATGTTTTTTTGTATAATATATATATATATATATATATATATATATATATATATATTTTCCCACCTATTCTTATTGTACATTTCTCTGTTTTAATTTTGAATCTCCGTGGAAGCCTGAAGAGCATTAGTCGAAACCGGTTGCTTCCAATGAAGACTGTTGTTGAGTTTTTTTATTATTTAATATTGTTTTAATATGTCTTGTAATATTAAATTTTACACTTTTATTTCGATCATTAAATTTTGTACCTACAAAAATATCTTTATATATATATATATATATATATATTATAATAAAAAGGAAAGAACAGTAAGATATATAATCCGGTGTTCTTTTTTATTGATAAAAAGGAAACCTCAAAGGTTCATTTCGGTTATAATTTATTTCGTGAATATTTATATATTAATCTCTTCAGACCGAAATCGTGTAGTAATTGGAGACAATACCCTGGACCGATATATCAAAGCAAGAGAGAAGAGAAGAAAGAAAGCGAGGAAGAACAAATTGAGTGATGGTCAGGTTCTTTTGAAAAATGAGATAGAGAGAGGGTAAGGAAAGGAAAGAGAAGAAGGAACTAATGAATGGGTAGTAGTAAGCCTAAAAAGACTGACTCCACTGAGACTTTTTCCCATAAAGTGTGGAACTTTGTACATAGAGTTATACAGCAAATTCACCAATATGGCCCGTTATTTTAGCAAGAAAAATCAACCCAATTCCAAATTATTTAGTCTAATAAAAGAACCCTAATATGAATAATAAATAAAAATTACAACAATGACAATAATATCAAACATAAATGAAGGGATTTTAAATACAGATAAATAATAAAAGTAAAATTAGAAAACTAAAGCTGTTTTAGCTTTAGTCTTCTAATTTCTAAAAACTGAGTAAGATGATATATGGATAATGATACAAAAGATGTTAATTTAGAATTATAAATGCTGTATACATCGGCAAGGCAATCATAGATCCAACTATATATGAAGAAACACGCAAAAAACACAAAACCATGTGATACACAATATCCTCACATACACATATACATAAACACATACATACATATGTATACATATGTATATATGTGCTTTGACCCATACAAACTTCATGTGTGCATCCCCACCAAAAAGAACGTTTTTAGGGGATTTGAAATTTGTTCTTATGTCTACACTTGAAAATCAGTTCGTTCCGTTGATTTAACAACTGGTTAACATTTGTGCATTTGATTATTGCAATTTTTTCTTGTATGCACGGATCGCATCTGCCCTGGAAGTTGTTGGGGGTATGAGACCGTTAGATAATTTCCCATTTGATTAGTGGGATGAAACGACTATCTTTAATCTTTCAATAATGCTTGGATAGAGCAATTTTGTGTCTTAAGGAAGCATTGGAGAAGGAATGTCGGTATATATATATATATATATATATATATATATATATTTTCGTCTTCCCGTTTTCCTGTATATGGAAAAATTGCGCCCCAAGATTGAAATTGTCGAAAGTACTTGGCTCATCAATTCCATCTGACAACAAGTCAAATATAAGGGTCGTATTATTCAAGGAATTGATAGTAAGTTAATGTCTCATTAAGTCTTGTTAGCGAAGTGATCTCGCCATTAATCACATTAACATGCTAATTAATTATTTGTATAAATTACTTCTTTATGATATATATATGTGTGTGTGTGTGTGTGTGTGTGCGACTAGACATCCAAATACCTCAAGCCCAGATCGAAACCCAACCGATTTGCTGTCAGTAAGAGTATCTACCAGTGAGCTATCTTCATTCGACAGTGACAAACAGCTAACTCTAGCGTATTGTTTTTACGAAAGTAAATAAATGCCAATCAGCCCGGAGTGCTCAAATTCATTTTTCGCACTAGAGCTTTTCATTAACGCAGGTGGCTGTTGTTTATAGAATTATTGTCTCTCAACATATATATATATATATATATATATATATATATATATATATATATATATATATATATATATATCATCAAGTACTCTCCAGTCGATTTCGAGTATGAGTTTCCGTCAACCTTACTCAGTTTTTATTATTGTGTCGCATGTGACACTTCAGTCCCGCATATTGTGCAACAGCAAGGATCTCAGGACATAGCAACAGGGATAATTACTGACACTTTTCGCCGTTGTCTTTTGACTCTTAGCCGGTCTATACAAATGATTTCATAATTTCTGATACAACTCCGGCACAAATATCTCCAGTTATTTCTATCCAGGGAAAACTCGAAAGTTAGTATGAGGCATATTGACATCTGAGAGCTTACTCTTTAGCTTGTCTTTATACCCAAATTTTACTCCCATGTATATATATATATATATATATATATATATATATATATAGTATCGTCTCTTTCTAAATAAATAAATTCCAATAACCAACAAATACAATTCTTAAAAGTGTGCCCAATACAGAGTAGAGCAAATATAATTATTTATTCGAAAATTATAACATACATATATTATAAAATCATTAAAAAATAGCCATTTTGTTTCAACACTTCTGGTGTCTTAACACCATCACTTGATAAAGCACCAGAAGTGTTGAAACATAATGTCTATTTTTGTAGTGATTTTATAACATATTTATGCTATAATTTTCGAATAAATAATCATATATATATATTTATTAAAGACATTTTTATGTTTAACGTTCTTTTTTATAGATACAAGTATTTAAGTAAATGCTCTGTTTATAATAAACAGTATTAAATAACATTTACCGGCCTGAATGTCCGAGAAATTTTCATAGAAAATATTCGTCCTTTGACAAGATTTATTTATTAAATAAATTTGTTTACATTTGATACGCCAGAGCAGTTATGAATGTACGTGATTCATGGAAGATTCAAGTTTATAAGCAGTAAATTCGACCTTGTCTACCGAACGCTCCTTTGTGGCCGGTCGGTAAGGCACGTCAGCGTAAATGACGGTTCCGTATAGGATGCAGGTTCGAATCCTGTCAAAGGACGAATATTTTCTATGAAAAATTCTCGGACATTCAGGCCGGTAAATGTTATTTAATACTGTTTATTATAAACAGAGCATTTACTTAAATACTTGTATCTATAAAAAAGAACGTTAAACATAAAAATGTCTTTAATAAATAAATTGTCGGACTTTGTCCATTTCTTAATATATATATATATATATATATTCCTCTTTATTATATGCATAAGTTTGTGTAGGTTGCATGTACTTCAATACTTACTTCCTAATCAGTACAATGCCCGAAACGAAAGGAGCGCCAATCTTTACATCCGCTTTTGCTGATCAACATATTTTCCTAGTAACTCCTTCAGTTCAGATATTCATTGCATGAGTGAGATTCTTTATTATATAATTCATTAAAATATTCCTTCAGAATGTCTAACAAAAGCCATATCAGTTGAGGACGTTCAACAGCAGTAACAACTAAAATGGATAAGCCATGTAACTCGGAGAGGCGATAAAGAAACAGTCATGATACTGACATCTCACTCAACCCGAAACAAAAGGCGAGGAAGTTTACTGTCAATGATCGATTAATGAATACCGAAAGATTTCGTAGGAGGAAACGGTTAATATTAACATTGAATGTATCATTACTGATATTAAAAATAAAATATTTGGTAGGGATTGTCTCCTCCCGTTATCGTGAATAAATCTAAATTTAGAACATTCTGCACAACACTTTGCTTAGCAAATGAAATGGAATAACACGGACACACAGACACGAATTTCATTGTGTTCATATCTAATCGGTTCGTTCATATCTATCTATCTATCTATCTATCTATCTATCTATCTATCTATCTATGCCTGTTCATATCTATCTGTCTATGTCTGTTCATATCTATCTATGTCTGTTTATATCTATCTATCTATCTATCTATCTATCTATCTATCTATCTATGTTCATATATATCTGTCTGTCTGTTCATATCTATGTCTGTTTATATCTAAGTCTGTTCATATCTATCTATTATGTTCATATCTATCTATCTATCTATCTATCTATCTATCTATCTATCTATCTATCTATGTCTGTTCATATCTATCTATCTATCTATCTATGTTCCTTATCTATGTCTATGCATTATCTATCTATCTATCTATCTATCTATCTATCTATCTATCTATCTATGTCTGTTCATATCTATCTGTCTATGTATGTCTGTTTATATCTATCTATCTATCTATCTATCTATCTATCTATCTATCTATCTAAGTCTGTTCATATCTAGCTATTATGTTCATATCTATCTATCTATTTATCTATGTCTGTTCATATCTATCTGTCTATCTATGTCTGTTTATATCTATGTCTGCTTATATCTATCTATCTATCTATCTATCTATCTATCTATCTATCTATCTATCTATGTCTGTTCATATCTATCAATGTCTGTTTATATCTATCTATCTATCTAAATCTGTTCATATCTATCTATTATGTTCATATCTATCTATCTATCTATCTATCTATCTATCTATCTATCTATCTATCTATCTGTCTTCATATCTATCTGTCTGTCTGTTCATATCTATGTCTGTTTCTATCTATCTATCTATCTATCTATCTATCTATCTATCTATCTATCTATCTATCTAAGTCTGTTCATATCTATTATGTTCATCTATCTATCTATCTATCTATCTATCTATCTATCTATCTATCTATCTATCTATGTCTGTTTATATCTATGTCTGCTTATATCTATCTATCTATCTATCTATCTATCTATCTATCTATCTATCTAAGTCTGTTCATATCTATCTATTTATCTATCACTTTCATCACCTTTTCGCTTTTTTATTTTTCTATGAAAGAAAATTTCTCTAATATGTCTTCAACTTTTCTTAATACTCTTTTTAAACACTTCCCATTTGTTCATCGCATACCATAATACTTTAGAGATATTTATCCTACATATGAAGTAACTGTTTTAAAGCCCAACACGGTGGACATAATCTTAACAAACAAAATAAAATATATAGATCTAGCTGTAAGTTCTATGCTAACAGTTCCTTCTTTCGCACTTCTCGCTTGTGGAACTCTCTTCCGATTTGTAGCTTTCCAGTCAACATTGATGGTAATCGTTATCTTATGTCTTCTAAATTCTTTTTATTTTATTTTATTGTTCTCTCCTTAACAGTGATTTACTTTTTCTCATATTCTTTCACACCCAGTAACCCCTTGCATCTTAGTGGCTTAGTTGCCTTGCCTGGAGTGAAATGATTATTATTGTGTGAAATGATTAGGAAAGATGATCCTGTGTTGAGGGGAAAACTTAAAATTCAAAAATTTAAATATCTTGGAAGTGTTTTAACAGAGCAGAGAGAACATGACACCGAAATCCAAAGGCACATTTAGACTGTAAAAGATGCCTTCCAAAAGCCAAGTAAAGAATTAAGAAACATGAAAATTTCGTTAGAAACAGAGAAAAGTTCAAAATATTGACTGTGTTGAGATTCTTCCATATCTACCATTCAGTCCCGATGCTGCTCCGGGTGACTCTGGCCTTATTCCGCTCAATGGCACACATCCCCCGGGACCAGCGATTTAACACATTTGATGAAGTGAAGAAAGCTTTTTACAGTTTTGGGATTCAAAGCCAATGGTATCTGGGATAGATTCGGATGCTGGTTGATTGCTTTCAGAAGATCATCGACAATGATGGACTTTATTTTGAAGAATAAATGTTGGTGTTGCTCCATAAAATTTTTTTTCCGCTTCCTAAGTAAGTCAGTTCATTTTGGCTAACATAATAAATAACTCCCGGGCGTGATCGAATTAGGGAAACTCGATTGAGGCTGATTCGATTAGACGAGATGTCGATTACCAGAACTGATTTTTCATAAACTATTTTAGTGGACGAATAACTTCGTTAAGGCAGACAACGCTAGACGATCTGTTCCTATTGTAATGGAGTCGGATCTTTCTGGATAACGAGCAAAGTGCTTTTATTGAATATTTATACTCGAAGCGCGTTTTTACCCATTTAAGTTTAGCGTACGAATTATACATCACTGTATTTATACATACAGATATGAATATGCAGACACACATTCGCTCAGACACACACACGAAACGAGCAAACCGAAAAGACGTACATGTGTCTATTTGATTATACGGGTTAATACCTAATGTGTGTGAGCGCATAAATCAGACGCTCTGGTGTGAGGTAATGGTCAACGAGCAATGTCTGGTTGAATATTACTGCTAAGTAGTGATATCGATCCTCACTTGATGCATCAGACAAAATTCCACGTGAGATATCCCAACAAGAGTTGAGAAGCCGTAAACTCAATCAACCTAACTCTGTGTGCATTAGTATGAAGCGAGAATATTCGGGTTAACTATTACGAGTGAGTAGTGATTTCGATCCTTACTAGGTACACCATAAACAATTTGACATTGAATATCTCAACAAGGGCTGAGATACTACAAGATCAACCAACCTAACTCGGTGTACGCTAATAATAGCGCTTCGTTCTTAAAAAAAAAAAAAAATCATGGAAAGTTTTCCGTTGGCTTCTGTCAGATTTTGAACTCAGGGTTGTCCTTCACCTAAATTAATTGCTAACCAAATCTTGAGTGTTGAATGGACCATGTTATTTATTCATAGTTGAACAGAGAAAAGATGGATTCTTACTTTTCCCAATGGAATTAGTGCGAAGGGATCACAAACTAACTCATAACGAATTTGAACTCGGCTCGCCTATTATATTTTTTGTGTTGTCGACAGTTTGTTCACTCGAATCTCCATGTTAAATGACTACAGACGTGTCAAAGTAGAAAAGCATATTCAAATGACTGAAACTTGTATGGGTTGACAAAAGAGTTAGTAGCTATTTCTTCGACTACTGGGCAGGTAATTGTTATTGTCCAAGTTCCTTGTACCACGGTGATGGTCCAAGGTGAGAACCAATGAAAGAATAACACGAACACAGGTATGGAATACAAAGATATATTACAACAGAAATATAATATAAAGAAGTAGAAGTATTAGTAATGACTATCAGATTTGGTTAGAGTGAACTATGTTGTCTCGACAAGTATCACTATTCCAATGTCCTTACAATATGCTCTCAATTATCTCTCCTCGTCTTACAATATATCCTCATACCTCTTTATAATGTCAGGAATAGTCCATTATTATTATGGGTAAGTTCCCATAACAGTAATTGAGTTATGTGAAAATGTGTTTACGCAAGAGCTCACTCTCCGAAATATATTATCAAAATATTAGGTTGTTACACATGAAATGGTGCACTTTATAGGAAATAAATAAAACACTTCTGAAATGTTAAATATATAATTTATTTAGCTGAAATGGGTACAATGTTGATGAATGACGGTTCTCCAATGTAGAATTCTCACCCTTTGATATGATAAAAAATTCTCATCCTTTGATGCGATAAAAAATTCTCATCCTTTGATGCGATAAAACATTCTCATCCCTAATGCGATAAACAGTCCAAATGCTTCGATTACTTCTTCCTTATTGGAGAACGTTTTATTGCATATGTAAAGCTCAAAATGTTTAAATAAGTGATAATCAGTAAGAGAGATATCAAGTGAATATGGAGGATGAGGAAAAAGTTTATAATTCAGGCTATGTAGCTTTTGCATAGTTGATTGAGAAGCGTCCGGCTGTGCGTTGTCGTGCAGCAAAATTGAGCCATCCCTATTCACAAGTCTAGGGTGTTTCTTTTTCAACTGTTCATGCATACACACAATTTCTTCACAATACAAGGTTGCTGTTATTGTTTTACGTTGAGATAAGAATGAATAATGAATAACCCCTTTGAAAGACCACCATACAGTAAGCATTAAATTTTTAGGGTGCATTGGAGGTTTTGGGTATTGTTTTGGTGATTCACTTACATATAACCACTGGCTTATTCTATTACTGTTGTCAAAGAGTATCTATTTCTCATCGCTTGTTATGATTCGATGCCAAAATCGTTCTTTTTTATCCTGCCAGTAAAACAACAGTGCTCACACCTCAAATCGACAGTTTCTTTGAGACTCATTCAGTTGTGCGAGATGTCTCGAGTTCTGATGCAAGTTTTCGGATTGTAGTTCTCGGATTTTGAGAAATTAAAGCATTCAATTGATTATGTCTGATAATCAATCGTAGTCTTCCCCTTTCAAGACTCTCGAAGAAAACTTCCGAAGCTATCTCTGTACAGTTCTGATTTCAACAATACCATTACCAAAGGCCACCTTCATATTCATACAGTATGATTACTCGATATTGTTTCAATGTAGTCATTTTCATTGGGCTTATAAGTTACAATATATTGAAAGAAAAATTATCTGTCAAGAATTTTTTTAAATAATAAGGAGGTTGCTTCTTGAGACGACCAGATCAACAACCAACCAAAAAATACGCCATTTCATGAGTGACAACCTAATATGGCGACCATGCAATGAACCCATTAATACTTACATCATCTGTTTGTGTGCGTCTGTGCGCTTGTGTGCGTATGTGTGTGTATTTGTGTGTGTGCTTATGTGTGTGCATTTGTGTGTGTGTTTGTGTGTGTGTGTGGAGAAGCGAGAGAGAGAGAGAGAGAGGGGGGGTATCCTGTGTCTACGAATGGGAACACCTGTGTATCTTTAGTAAATATGAATGTCACTAGCTTATCGGCCGGCATTTAAGCTAGTTCCTGCAGAGGGATCTTGATTGGGCCTTCATCACAGTAGGCAGGGAGAAATAGATGCGATAGACATCAATAAACTGCAGAAAAACTCAAAATTGATTGTTGCATTTAAGTATTGCATTAATATTTAAGATTACCTTTTAAAAGCTCAACGATAATTCTTCCGCCACAATTTAATTTAAAGTCAATTTGATGTGCGTAGAAGTTCATTTGACATTGTTTAAGAAATACATAACTTTAGTTCGGATATTTGAAAACTCGTATTTGCTACTGTTATTTTCGTATCCAAAGCGTAAAGAAAGGAATTTCTAAAGAATTAATTTTATTTATAATCCGACATCTAACGCCACTGACCTACTCTTTCACTGTTGACAAAGAGTATCCATTTCTCATCGCATGTAACGATTCGATGCAAAAATGGTTCTTTTTTCCAAGTTTGTACTCATACAGTAAGATCACTCGATATTGTTTCATTGTAGTCATTTTCATTGGGCTTATAAGTCACAATATATTGAAGAAAAATTATCTGGTAATATAAAAGAGTCAGTAATAAGTCAAGCTTTTTTTTTTATAGTCTAAGTAAATTAACTTCGTTAGACGACCGGATCAACAAACAACCAAAAAATGCGTCATTTCATGTGTGACATGCTAATATTGGGAATGATGGATCTTTTCTCAAGAATACTAAGAGACCATATTGAAAGCTGGAGTTTAAAACCGGTCCTGCCGATTCCAATATTTAAACTGCTGCCCATTACACTTCTATACTCATGCTTATTTATGGTCTTCTTCAGTGTGCCACATATCTTCAGGATATTGGGGATCATGGCTCTTCCCAACTTCCTATCTCGTGTGAGTCTTAGCAGATTTTCTCCCTTTGATAACTCTTCCCCGTCCCACGATCCATTCACAAAAGCTCATCAGGTAAGTGGCTTAATGCTTTCCCTTATTTTTCTCACATGTGTGTCTCGTGAGTATTAAGTTTTCCCACCTTTTTTCCTCATTTTGTGTCCAAAGAATTACAGCTGCTTTTTTTTTTAATTATCATTTTGAATATAAGTGTTCATTCTATTGCCATTTTCTTTATGGATTTTTTTTTGTTGCTTACTCCCTGCGTCGTATTCTCAGTATCCTTCTGTAGAACCACCTTTCTGCTGCCTCTAGTTTTTTTTGTGTTTTTTTCATCCGCAGGGCGATTGTTTAGCATTCACTGCCATATAAGAGGATGGATATC